ATTTTTCTCCTTTGGCAAGCATCATGCGGTGAGGAAAGATCTAGGCACATATGTCCAGTTGAGTATGGGTAGCATGAGTTATTATTGTTGACATCACCCTTGAGGTGAATACGTTGCGAGGCAAACTATAAGCCCATATCTTTCTATGTGTCCAGTTGAAATGTTTTTCTCATGTGTATGCGGTGAGTGTTAGCAATCATAGAAGACTACATTATGGTTGAGTATGTGGAGCTCTTACCTAGACTCTATTGAATAAGTTGAATTGCAATTGCTTGGTGACTGAGAACATAGGTTCTTGAGTTTCAAGAGAATTCATTGTTTGGACCTTAACATGTGAATTGGTTGCTACTATAACATGAGAAGTTTTATAAGAAATAATTGTTGTTATGATGCTAAGAAAAGTGATTGAAATTGTCATTGATCAAACTTGTGCACTTTGCTAGCATTCACACTTCATAAATTATTTCTTTTATCATTTACCTACTTGAGGACGAGTAGGAATTAAGCTTGGGGATGCTGATACGTCTCCAACGTATCTATAATTTATGAAGTATTAATGCCATGTTTACAATAATTTTATATGGTTTTGGTATGATTTGCATGGAACTAACCCGAACTGACGCTGTTTTCAGCAGAACTACCGCAGTGTTGTTTTTTGTGCAGAAATGAAAGTTCTCCAATCACCGCGAAACTTTTTGACAATTTTTTGTGGACCATAAGAGAACCATTGGGCCAGAGCAGCACCTGGGGGGTGCCCCAAGGGGGGCACAACCCACCAGAGCGCGCTTGGCCCCCCAGGCGTGCCCTAGTGGGTTGTGCCCACCTCGGTGGCCTCCCGTACCCCTTCTTCGCCCTATAAATTCTCAAATATTCTAAAAACCCTCGGGAAGACCCTAGATCAGAAGTTCCGCCGCCACAAGCCTCTGTAGCACTGAAAACCAATCAGGAGCCCGTTCTGGCACCCTGCCGGAGGGGAAGATCATCACCGGTGGCCATCTTCATCATCCCGGCGGCCGCCACGATGAGGAGGGTGTAGTCCACCCTCGGGGCTGAGGGTTTGTACCAGTAGCTATGTCTTTAATCCCTCTCTCTCGCGATCTTGAGATGTCACGATCTTGATGTATCATGGGCTTTGTTAACATAGATGGATCATATGATGTTTCTCCCTTCTCTGCACTTGTTGTGATGAATTGAGTCTTTACCCTTTGAAGTTTTGTCTTGTCGGATTAAATGTTCAGATCTGAGAACACATGATATATGTCTTGCATATGAATACCCGTGGTGACAATGGTGTATTATTTTGATTCACTTGATATATGTTATGGCACTCAACTTGCGGATTCCCGAGGTGACTTTGGGGTAGTCTATGCATAGGGGTTGATGCACATTTTTATTTTATTTTCTCCGATAGAAACTTTGGGGTCTCCTTGTAGTTCTTTGTGTGCATTGAGTATCATGAATATGAAATTGTTTGATACATATCGTATAATTAACTCATGGGTACTCGCGGTGACATTGGGGTATCTAGGTGACATTAGAGTTGGTTGATATGCATCATATGATGCTATTTTAGTATGAACTCTTGATTAGATCGATCGGAAATAATAGCTTTCTATTATTTTAGTACAAACCCTAGGATAGATTGATCGGAAAGAATAGCTTTGAGGTGGTTTCGTACCCTACAAACAATTTCTATCTTTTGTTCTCCGCTAATAGGAACACGAGAGTGATTCTTTATTGCACTTTGAGGGATAATCATATGATCCAACTATGTTAGCATTGTTGAGAGATTGCACTAGTGAAAGTATGCACCCTAGGCCTCATTTTCCATTATTGCAATACCATTTGTGCTAGGTTTTACTATTTACTACCTTGCTGTTTTTTATTGTTCGCACTACAAAAACTCATATCTACTATCCATACTACACTTTTATCACCATCTTTTCGCCGAACTAGTGCACCTATGCAATTTGCCATTGTATTGGGTGTTTTGGGGATACAAGAGATTTCTTGTATTTGATTGCAAGGTTGCTTGAGAGAGACTATCTTCATCCTACGCCTCCCACGGATTGATAAACCTTAGGTCATCCACTTTAGGGAAAATTGCTGCTGTCCTACAAAACTCTGCGCTTGGAGGCCCAACACGTGTCTACAAGAATAAAGTCGCGTAGTAGACATCAGCGATAGAGACGAAGATCTTCTGGTCTCTGAGGAATTTGTTTTGACTGAGGAGTTAGGAATTCGCCAGTACGGATTGCCTACAAGTGAGGAACATGATAGCCCCGAGGAATTTGATTCTCAAATTCCTGCCCGTTGATGTGCTATGCGCCAGCTGTCCAAAATATCCTACCACCTAACGGTCATATCATTGAAGGGCATTTATGTCTTATCATGTCGGGCTTCTCCCTAGGCTATTAATAGCCGCCCCTTCAACCACTAGTTGGTTGGCTGCTTCGAGAGAAACTGACACTTGTCATTGAGAGCATCCCATCCTCCGAGGACTTTGATCGAAAATCATCAAGTGAGGAAAACCCAAAACCCAAACACCTACAACCCAAAGTGATTGAGCATCACTGAAGAGATTGTTCCTGTGTGGAACCGACGCTTGTTACCTTTGAGGACTGTGCATCCTCCAGACGGTTAGGCGTCATGGTCTAGAGCATCCAAGAAGAAATTGTGGATCGCGAGTGACCAAGTTTGTGAAGGTTTGGAAGTCTCCTGAAGACTTACCACGAGTGATTGGGCGAGGTCTGTGTGACTTTAGCTCAAGGAGAATACGGTGAGGACTGTGTGTCCTCAGATTTAAATACACAGCCGCTCCAACCAGACGTACGTCTGTCACATCAGTTGGAACCGGTCTATCAAATCATCGTCTTCACCAAGCTACTGGTTCTATTTCCTAAACTCTTTCATTACCCCATTCATGTGTTGATGAACCTGATCATTACTATTTGAAGACTTTGACTGAAGACTTTCTCTATTTCCTCAACCCTATTTCTTCAGTTACATTGTCTTCAGCCTGCTTATCCTGTTTTCACGCTACCTGTACTCTGTGCTTATTTTCATTTCCATCATGATGACTATGTTATTGCTCTGTTATGCTTGTACCTGAGTACTTATTCCACTGCTAGTGTGTCGTTGCTTAGGAATTTCTTCACCTAGAAATTCCTCAGTGACGAATTTGTAAAAGTCGCCTATTCACCCCCCTCTAGTCGATATAACACACTTTCAGGTTGGACGAAGGGATGGTGGAAAGAAAGGTGAAATGAGAACCTTGCGTTTTTTAAGTAGTATAGTAGATATAGTAACAAGAATACATATTATTATAATTTTTCCAAATCCACAGTTAAAACATAATATGAGCAACGAAAATGACAATTTTTTTGATGATAAGAAAATGGGACGGTCGGCGACCAAAAGGGCTACTCTAATCGTTGCACCAGCATTGAAGCAACACTGGTACGACTGTCGTGACTATTTAAAGCAGGTAGGGCTCGTCGACAAACCCAATCTCCTATCCTCCGCACGCTCCCACTTATCCCCATCCCCACTCCTCTTCTCTCATCTACACGTTGCATTGATGGGCAAGTACGATAGTTGGTAATCGGCGTCGATGGGTGGATCTGCGGGAGCTTCTGATCATGGCACCATTGCCCATGGTTTTTGGCCTGTCGACATCCACCACTTCGAGATGGTCAAGGAGGAGGTGATGCTCTCTAACGATGACAAGAGTAGTAGCAGCTGCCCCTCCTCGGCTACGCGCACGGACGACGAATTCACGACACAAATAGAGTTGTTGTCTGCATTGTTGCTCCGGGATCATGACTCGGCGCTGCACTAGCCGCCGCACAACCGCGACATCAAAATCGGACACAATGTCAAGGAGGAGCCGCCGCGTACGTAACCGTGGCGTCCAAATTAGACTCGCGTCAAGGAGGAGCTAGCCTTTTGCCTCACAGCTAGGCCGACCGCTTTGTCCAGCTGGCGTCCCCACACATCGTTTCTAGCACGACAGGAGGTGGCACCATCACCACCCAGATGGCTGTCCGAAAGCCAGGGCGCCCGGTGAAGGAGGAGGAGGCGTCCGACCCGGCGATCGCCAATGTGCACGGCCACCTCCTCTACTACCTTGGATGTGGCAGCAGCGCCTCCTACTCGCGCACTATGATAGCAGCGGAAGGCGGCATCTGAGCAGGCACGCCGGACTAAGTCCGCTCTGGCAGGGACCTCACGTTGCCCTGGGCCGAGGATCGGTCCAGGACCACTGCGCAGACTTCCGCCCACTGACGGCGCGGACGAGTGATCAACTCCTCAAAGTGGGGATGAAGGAGTCCGAGCGCGCCCCGTGCCCTTGCCGACATGGCAATGTCAAGAGCGTGTCCATGGGTCGACTGTCGCCACCAGGAGGACGCTGCCCAGCGGGGCGCCAGGTGGAGCCAGCCAAACAACTACATCCGAAAACCTTCCGCCGTTGGAAGGATGACAATGTCGACGGAAGGGACGATGGCGAAGATACCAACAGTTTAGGAGGCCATGCCTAAAAGGTCACCTTTCATACTTCACTTAGTTTACTCTAGTACTTTAATTTTATTCGGTTTTAGTTGAACTTTGTTAACTTGCTTCTTTTGATTGTAAATATATCAAAATTTTAAAAATATTGTTCAGTTTACATGAATTTCGTTAAAATTGTTCATTTGAACTAGTGTGAATATTCGATACATGTGGTTGGATGGTAAGCTCTCGCTGTCAACCACGTTGAAGTTGTCTTTACTTCATCATGGTTGGATGATCGGCTCTCGCTGTCAACTGTATTAGAATTATCGCCCCTACCCTTTACTCCACGACATCACTAAATCCGCGGTACAGCTGCATTTACTCCACGATGATTGATGGCGCACTACAAAGATCCGCGGTCCGGGTCGCCTGTCCCGTGACCGCTTGCTTGCAGCTGCACAACTTACTCCTCTCAGTCCTCGCTCCTCTGGGCTAGCTGTTTCCCCATGGACGGCGATGGCCGCAGCGACGACTGCGACGCCGGCGGCGAGTGGATCTGGGTGCGTCGACCGCAGGAAGCGGAAGCTGCGGCTGCGGCGGCGGGGTGGCCGGCGGAGGAGGCGCGGCCTCTGAAGGTGGTGTTCGCGGCCCCAGCGAGGTACTTCACCGACGCGGCGCCGATCGGGAACGGCCGTCTCGGCGCCTTGGTCTGGGGCGGCGTCACCTCCGAGAAGCTCCAGCTCAACCGTAATTAAACAGACCCCCCCTTCCCCTCTTCTGAAGGCTTAATTACTCTGCTATAATATCCCCAAATTTAGTGAAAAACCTGTCTTGGGGTCTTTTGGTCGGGAAGCGCTCTCGTTCCAGCTCGGGAATCAAATTCACCCAGAAACACCACAGCAATAACAATGCTCTTAACAGATGATGATTTAGAACCTCGATTTTAAAACTATGACATCTTGAATTTTCGGTTTTAAAACAAATATGTTCACTTTTTGACATGAATTATGGG